ATAATATACAAGGTTTTATTATTTTGAGGAACACAGACAAGGCAATCTTATATCTGGTTTAATCTCAGAAAGCAAAGAATTTTTGTTTTTCCAACTATCTATGATACATAAAGTAATTATAATGGAAGCAGCAAAGAAAATTTTTTTGTTGGGACCCCCCTGGTAACAAAAGGGTTTAGGCACAACAATTTGAAGCTATCCATAGCCTCTGCAGCACGAGTTTGATCACCAGCTTGCCAGGGAGCTACCCACATGGCATAGCAGACCTTTCCTGTCTTGCCTGCTGCTCCCCTCAGTGTATTTCAGTCAGTCTGCCTGTTCTTTTATTCACTCTGTCTCTGGTGAATCTTCTGACCCACCACACCTCTGGCCTGTGTACCAGTTCTTGTATGCATAAATAAATAAATCTTTAAAAAAATGTTTTTGTCCCCATGAGTCTCATAGATTTAGATATCATCTATGTGTAAGATACACAATCTGTACTTCCAATACAGACAATGCTAAACAGCTGAATTACATATCCTATGGATTACTCAGCATCTGCTACTGCATCTTTAAATTTCATTTCAAATTCACATTTTCAAAGTAGGTATCTGTTGCCAGACTATTTTCTTTAGGTTGTTCCCTAGATCAACAAATGCAATCCCATCTCCATCTTTCCAAGAGCTTAGGTTAAAACATAGGATGTTTTTAAAATTATTCCATTTCTCAGATCATGTATCTAATCAATCAGAAAATTCGTGATTCAAATATGAGCAAAATGCCATCACTTCCATTGCTACCACCTGATTGTTATTCACCTGAATAACAGTTAACTTGCCATCTGATAATACTACCTACCTCTCTTCCTGTTCCATAAGGACCAGTTTGAATAAAATAATACAACAACTTTTTGAAAGTGGAAGTCAGATAATATATCCCTCTGCTTATAGTCTTTAACTTTAGTGTGATCATGGTGGTAATTTCTGACACAATTTTTTTTGCCCTTATCGAAGCTCTCTCTGGGATCGTGTCTGTTGTCTGTTCTTCAACCACCTTGAGAAAGCTACTACTTTTTTTTTTATTTTTAAGATTTGTTTACTTATACAAGCACTGGGTACAGTCAGAAGCGCGGGAGGGTGAGAGAATTCACCAAAGCCAGAGCGGGGAGCAGAGCAGGCAGAAGGACCGAAGTACACTGCTGAGGGGAGCAGCGGGCGGCAGGAGAGGTCTGCGCGCCATGTGGGACCCTCCTCCAGTGGCCTGGGAGCAGCCAGGGATGGAACCGGCGCTGCAGAAGGTGCGGGCAGCTTCGCAGCCCAGCGCTCAACTGCTGAGCCACCAGGAGGGCCCGAGAAAGCTACTGCTTTTAAGCCTATGCTATCACACTGTTTTCTCCATATGAATATTCTATGCACATAGTTTGCTTTTCTCAGCTTTTCAAATCTTTGTTCAAATGTCAACTTTGCAGCTAGGGGTTTCTCAGAACTATTTTTTAAAATAATAGATGTATTATATATATGTTGTGTGTGTGTGTGTGTGTGTGTGTGTGTATACTTTTAAAATTATTCATTTTATGTCTCCATCCTCCATTACCCACACTGCAATGGAAGTTAAATTGAAGTCAGGAATTTTGATTTGATCACGGCAGAATAGTACCTAGTTTAGTTTCTGGAATACTATAGGTGTCAATAAATATATATTAAATTAATAGACAAATTAATCTGTAGAGACTCGATGTGTTCCAACATCAAATATCATTAACCCCATGTTAATTGAGGAAAAGGACACTTTCAATTATTTTGTTTTGTTTTACTGAATTAAGTTATAATGCACAAGGAAATATGAGGAATATAGGTCTCCTTGCTATCTGAAAGTAAAAAGTTTCTATGAAACCATTCTCAGATGAAATGGCATAAAATGATGAAGAAATTACCATTAATTCACATAAAATTGAACTTTGAACATTCTCACACACCAAAATACCCTGACAACTCACACACAAATCCTTAAACAATATTAACATATAGTAAAAACAGAATGATAAAATATACTGTCTGTAGAAAGTATTTCCAGGGAAAGCACTTGGCTGGACTATTCTATGTATGTGCTTAGGAATAAGCTGTCTGTAGAAATGCTATTGCAAAATAAATGATGAATTCAATTTTCACATTTTTCCTGTGTTGTAAAAACAAGCATCCTCCTTTAATTCCTTTTGGTCAGTAAAGTCAGATATAATAGGTGTTACAATAATGTTACTTCATTATAACATTGATGTGGGGGGAAAAAGATCCTGCTTGATATTAAACTAAATAAATATAAATTGAGGACTCCTTTTCATTATAAATATATTCACTTAAAGTCACATTTCCCAAAAAACTATCTACATGTTAAGTGAAGTGTGGGATACTTGTACTTAAATCAGCAGACTGCTCACCCTCAAATCTTAATTTTAACACCATAAACAGTTACTAATCTTTTGCAAAGTGTACAAAACAACAATTCAACCTCATTTCTTACTGTTTTATCCCTATCATACAAAGCCAAAGTCCTCAATATTATTGTCATACACCTACAGTGAATTATCTTAGAGAAGAGAATATTTCAGAAAAGAGCAAATAGAGCCTGGGGATTTCTTTCCCTATGGTGTTATTTCATTTACTAATCTCCAATATGAAGGTCATTGTATTTCAATCCCCTTTATCATTAACCTAAAAATGCATTTTTAGATAATGTTTCTGGAGCACAAAAGACTTGGAAACTCCTGTGGGACACCCAAACTGGTTTTCTTTTGCGTTTCTTGGACTCTTGTTGTTGCTATATTGAATCTAAATTTCATACTTCTGTTGAAGGAAAATTTGCCTGACTGTGGAGTTAAGGCAAACATACTTCTGCTATTGAAGGAGCAAAGGAAAAATATCAGGGAAAAACATTGGAGTTTATGTAGAGGCCAAAAACCCCTGTGTCCCTGCCAAAATTTAGATTGTCTCGATAGAGCAGGAGCAGCACTGACACCATCATGCATGCTGGGTTGTGGGTTGTGGTGACTCAAAGAAGAAATTGCTCTGCTTGACCAATAATTTTCCCTGGGAATGTGACAGCAGGGATCTCTGTGGGTGATAGAGTTTCCAACTGTGAAGTCAAGGATCTGAATAATCTGAGTTAGTCCATTCTTACTTGTCTGAGATGTCTAGGGTAAGAGAAAAGAAGCAAAGGTGGAGGACTTTCTTCTAAGCAGGAGATTCCTTTTGGTGCATAGCCACCTGCTCCACTTGTCTAAGTGAAGAAAATCGAGCTCATTGATATTCTTGACCACAGCAAACTTTGTTATGCCCATGTGGTTAGCTGGCATCATACTGTTTTCTAGAGAGAGGGAAAAAAAAAAAGATTAAGGAAATGGTCTGCTAAAATTTCCTGTTTTTATTTTATTTAGCTTGCTAGATCCTTTATTTCATCCTTGCTTCTCATCCACATGATACATTTCAAGTTATCTGAAAGTTTTCAAGGTCATTAAAATACATCTTTGGAAGGTCACAAACCACACTGTCAAATGTATAATAATGGAGGAGTCAGCATTTAATCTTTCTAATAGATATTCCAAAAAATCTAAAATAGCAGAGAGTAGGGAGGAAAGACTTTATTCACCTCCACGTTTGAAAAACAAGAGTCACGCTAACACTATTGATATTCCATCATGGAAAGACATTTTTCTAAGTGTGTGCAATTCATATGAGTAACTTAAATAAGGCTCATATTCAGAATGACTGCTAAAGAGTAAAAATGTTATATTATTTTTTATATTATTTTTTGTACAATGTCCATGCACCAAAAAGACAGTGTTCTCAGATGTGGATTCTAAGAAATCTAATGTAGAAAAGTATGTATGTATTTACGTACGTTTGCATGTTTGTATATGTATACACAGATACACATACATGAAAAATTAAGTTGAATACCTAGCATAACTCTAGGAATGGAATAACCATAAGCTTGTAGTATTGGAATTGTAAACTTGGATTTTAACTTCTAATATATTTCTAGGCATAGTTAACACATAAGAAAACAGATGGATTTATTTTAGGCATAGAATTTTCCAAATTAAAGAGTAGGTGCTAAAAAAAAAAAAAAACAATCAGAGATAGGTTTTATTTCTTTAACCTTAGTCAGTAATATCTAATTTCTAAGAAATACAGATTGACAGCTATTAACAACCTCTTCAGAATGAGGATTAAAAAAAATAATGTGGATAGTTTTGTGTTTATGACTGTTGTCCTTAAATTACACACTGGTTTTGGCTGAGTATTAGGTTGCATTTTTCCCATTTGAATTTTTTTCTTTATTAAAAACATTTATTTTATTTATGCAGACAAGAGCTGGGGTGTTGGGGTGAGAGGATTCACCAGAGACAAAGCGGGGAGCAAAACAGGCAGATCTACTGAAATACACTGCTGAGAGGGGCAGCAGGCAAAACAGGAGAGGTCTGCTGCACCATGTGGGTTGGCTCCCTGGCTGGGAGTTGAACTCATGCTGAAGTGGCTGGCCACAGCTGAATAGTGCTGAGACTTAATCTCTTGTGCCACCAGGGAGATCTTGAAATTTCTTTCTAATATGACAAGCTAATTCCCTGTGAAACACATTATTGTTTCCTTGAGGAAATACATAATGTGCTCAAATACACTAGTATTTCTATTATGTGTTATGTAAATTATATATATATATAAAGTGCTATTATTTGTTCTTTTGAGACAACAGTTTAAAACAAGAATGGACATGGGCGAAAAGGAAATGAATGGTGATGTTACACTAAATCAGAAATGTAAATTATTATATTACCTATACATTTTTATAAATTGTTCAAATAGCAGAAATTTATATTTTGTGTGTAATTTCTGAATACACTTTAACTATAAATTCTCAAATTAAAAAAATCTATCATCCTAATTAAAATATATAATTGAATCAATACTAACAAATTGTCACATCTGTGTGTGGACTTTAAGAAAAGAAAAAAAAAAGGGGAACATGTCGGAGTCCGACCTCGGCAGGAAGTGGGACCGGTGCATGGCGGACATGCTCGTGAAGATAGGTACTGGATTTGGATTAGGACTTATTTTCTCCCTTACCTTCTTTAAAAGAAGAATGTGGCCGTTAGCCTTCGGTTCTGGCATGGGACTGGGGATGGCCTACTCCAACTGCCAGCACGACTTCCAGGCTCCTTATCTTCTACATGGAAAATATGTCAAAGAGCAGGAGCAGTGAGTGACACCTGAGACATCCCAGTGGGAGGAAGGAGAAATCATGTTTATTCCTCAGGAATACTGAAGTGCCCTGGAGTAAGCTGACGTTCTTCTGTAACAATGTTATCAGTAATGCTTTCAGCTCCAGCACACTGTTTATGTATTTGAAACCAAGTCTGTTTCTTGTTTTGTATTTTCTCTCTGGAAACTGCAAGGAGGAGGTCTTGAAGAAATAAATTAAAAAGAAATAGGCAAAAAAAAAAAAAAAAAGAAAAGAAAAAAAGATATGAGATATTTATGATGTAAGAAGTTTTAATAATCCTTAGCCTTAGGAAAAATGGAACAATAGATAACTGGGTCTAAATTGGAAAAGGAAGCAGAGGATTGTTAGGTGGTGAAGGCACTACTGAATTACTGGTTCTAAAAACATTTTTTTATGAAGATATAAAAATATAAATAATGTTTACATTAATGTGGTGATTTTAGCTATGTAATTATAAAATAAAGCATGTTAGCTTAAGAGAATGGATCTCAATATAGACCAGGATTAGAAATATATCATAACACTTAGGGAAAATAATCCATAGCAGTCAGTATTCATTCAGAAACACTGGGGATGTTGTATGGATGAGATGTATAGAGCTGTGCTATCTTTCCCAATTCCAGGAGCAGATAAATGGTCCAAGCACACATATAAAATATGAAGAAAACACATAGACAATGCATTCCATGACATGAGTCTCAGAGATGTGTTAGGTTACTCCACTGTAACAGCAAGGAAACAAAAGCAAAAATAAACCAATGAGACTTTATCAAACTATGGCAAAAAAAAAAAAAAAAAAAAAACCTGAGTGAATTGGAGAAGATATTTGCAACCAGATATGTTAACATCCAAAAAGGGGCTCCCCTCCCTAGGAGTTAAGACTCAGTGCTATCACCAAACCATATATATATATATATATATATATATATATATATATATATATATATATATATATATATATATATATTTGTGTATGTGTGTGTATAAAACCTCATACAAATCAATAGAGAAAGCAATCCAATCAAAAAAGTGAGCTCTGAAATTGTGAATAAGCACTTTTACAAAGAAGGCACTCAGCCAAGAGGCTCAGGAAAATATTCTCATCATCACAAGTTATTATTAAGGAAATGTCAGTCAAAATCATAATGTGATGTCACTTCTCATCTTTGAGAATGGTCTGTACCAAATGGAGTAGGCATAAATGGTGGTAAGTTATTGAATTGGGTTTTTAGGGGCCCAGGCCTAGAGATAAAGGACCCCAGTTAGACTTTTTCTGGGTTCTTGTCTTTGTTGAGGAAATAATTCAATATTGAGATCAAAATTACAAAAAAAAAATAAAGATATTTATAACTAACAACAAGACAGGGAAGCTCTCTGAGTGGAGAGGGGTTTCGAATGGGTAGCCACTGAGGTGACAAGAAGTAGGTGCTTATATGGGTACAGCGGGTAAGGAATGGGGGTTTGGTCATTGGGTATCTCAGTGTTGTGTCTCTTGCTGATTGACTGGACCCTTGGTGGTCTCCTAGGTTACTGAGTCCCACAGAATTTTCTCACATTACCCAGCCTACTTTTTCCAAAATCAAGTTTGGTAAGTTGCAATTGTGTCATTTTGTTGATGTTCTGAACACTCCACTCTTTTCTGGGATGGTGGAGGCCACCCTCCTGGACTTGGGAACCCTGTTCCTAAATGACCACCTACATCCACTTCTTGACTTTGTCCTTCAGATGAGAAAAAATGAACTCTTGTACAACATTTGGTTGGGGTATAAATTGGTACAACTTCTTAGGAAAATGCCATGGAAATCCCTCGAAGTTAAGAATTAGGCTATCATAAGAAATTCCACTTCTTTGTATTTATCCAAATGTGGAAACAGTGTTTCAAAAAAATACATAGGCTTTTATATTCATTGCAGCATTATTCACAATCATTAAAACATGGAAACACCCTAAATGCTAATCCAAAGATAACAGTATAAAAAGATGCACTCTATGCATCAAGAATGGAATATTACTTGGCTATTTTCAAAGATGAATGTATTCCTGTCTTTTGCAATAAAATGGGTGGAACTTGAAGTGATTATGTTAAGTGAAATAAGTCAGAAATGATTTACCAGATGGCTTTACTCATATATAAAGAAACAAAATTCAATAAAAATAATTCCAACACTGAAAACAGTACGGTGACTACCAAAGAGGAAAGAGAAGTGGGGTGGGAGAAACAAATATGGGGCTAATTCTCATAGTGATGGTACTTTGGTGGTGGGTGAGATCTAGTCTACAAATTTATTGAAATGTGAAGTTATATTCCTGAAACACATAATTTTGTAAATCACTGTTAAAACAATAAAAACAATTTTTTGAAAATATATATATATTTTTTAAGATTTATTTATTTATTTATACAAGCACTGGGTACAGTCAGAAGCGCAGGAGGGTGAGAGAATTCACCAGAGCCAGAGCGGGGAGCAGAGCAGGCAGAAGGACTGAAGTACACTGCTGAGGGCAGCAGCGGGAGGCAGGAGAGGTCTGCGTGCCATGTGGGACCCTCCTCCGGTGGCCGGGGAGCAGCTGGGGATCGAACCAGCGCTGCAGAGGCTGCAGGCAGCTTCGCAACCCAGCGCTCAACCGCTGTGCCACTGGGGAGGCCCAATAAAAACATTTTTTAGCAGAAGATGTCTCTGAATGCTTTTTTAATTTTTTAAATTTTATGTATCTTTTATTAATTCAAAAGGGCACCCACACTCCTATGTTTATAGTAACATATTTCACACTCCTACGTTTATAGTAACATATTTACAATAGCAAAGCTATGGAAACAACTAAAATGCCCAAAAATAGATAACTGGATCAAGAAGATATGGTACACATACACAATGGAATATTACTCAGCAAGCAACAAAGATAAACTCATACAATTTGCAGCAACATGGATGGAGCTGGAAGGGATCATGTGGAGTGAAATAAGTCAGAAAGAAAAAGAAAAGTACTGGATGGTCTCACTCATAACAGGAATTTAGGAAACCTAAATTAGGAACCATGAAAAAGACTAACTATAATAAATTAAAAATCAAAATCAACAAGCAACTATAAACCAGAGACACACTACAGGAGGGGGAGCAGGGGCGAAGGAAGTAGGATCAAAACAAGGGTGGTGGGAATTGTATGAGGACTATAACCAAGATGAAAAAAATACATATTTTTAAGCAGTGTCAGTTTAGCTCTTTCTTCTTCTGTTGGTATTGAGCATGAGGTCATTGGAGAGGCAATCCAAAGGGAATGTGAAGGAGGGAGCTGACAGCTGAATACCCTAAGCAACAAGCTAAGACTTGTATCTCTCTCTCACTAGAATCCACAATGTTCTATTAGTAGTACCCTCGCCCCACTCACACCAGCATTTGGAAAGAAACCCCATAGGTGATATCAGTGGGAACCCACCTGGTGCCCAAAGCGACAAAGTGAGTCACCAGGTCCACAAAAACCTGCTAATTCTAATGGCCAAGAATAAACATGGGACTACTTCATTTCCACTTTCCAAATTGTGCATATCTATGTCTTAAGTCAATCTTAACCAGAAGCATTCAAGGAATAAAATTATGGGAAACAGTTCAGTTTATCCAAATTGACACATTAGAAAACAATCACACTGACAAATAGAAATCTCAACAAAAGCTGCTACTCTCTAAATAAACTTTCACATAAGTGTTCATGCCCTATTCTGCTTAATTCCACTCTTACAGAATTAGAACTAATTTTGAGGGTAGAATACAATTCTGGGTTCAAATAACTCTGAGAGTCACTACTAGCTTTAATTATAATGAATTTGTATACACGAGTTGACTCTTAGGAGTTCAGAATCACCACGTCAGAAGGTTCACTATTCCTTTACTTAATGATTGCAGATCCCACTTTTCAGTCCTGTTTTTCTCTGTCTCTTTACAAGGAGAATCAAAATTCAAGCGTATGGTTCTGCAGGTGTTTTCATAAGAAAAAAAAAAAAAAGAGAAGAGAAGGGGGAAAAAACTGCAAGTTCTTTACACTATATGGTCTTTTTAAATTGGTCAATACATTTTTTTTTTCTCAGAAAGATCCAAAGTTATATTGATTTTTCAAGACCAATATTTTTTAGCACATGCATTCCATCCTTTCCCAGTTTCCAGTGAGGTCTCCACAGAATGTTTGCTATTTTATCAAAACTCCATTTAGATTGTTTCATTGATTGAACCTGCATATTTAAACTGTACAGACTTTCAAACAAATGAAACAAAGACAGGTTTGCCTCAGAGAGAATCAGTATAGAAACAGAGAGTGATTTCCTCTTTCCTTTTTATCTCCTAACAACCAACACTCCACTACAAATGAGGATGGTTCAGCTGAGCAGCATGTTCCCAAGACAGAAGGTCTGTGCCAAATGGTAGGATGAGCTGACCCACTGCTCCCATTACAGCCAAATGGCTTTCTACCAAGACACAGCTATGGGTCAGCCAAAACTCTTTCCAAGGTCACTCGTGCTATTGACACACTTGTGAAAGGGATTTGGAAAACTTAAATTTGTTCAATTTACTCTCCCATTAAAAGACAAGACCTGGATGAATTCACATTAAGGTTACTAACTGAAGTTAACTAAATATGAGACATGGAATTCCTATTTTCTTTATTTAATAATAAATTTTATATTAAAAATATATATAACTAATATTAAATAGATCCTAGAAAACTTTTCCAAGGGGTTAACCTATACATTCTGCCTCAAGAATGCCCCTAAATGTTCTACTGGATAGCTACATGTGCACAGGCAGAGCACATGGTAACTCAGTTAAAATCATGAGGGAATTTTTATAGAGTTTTTTTTTTTGAATGAAAAGAAAAACTGTTGAGTGCAGTACTGTGGAGCTCTCTGCAGCCTCTGGAGTGCAGATTTGATTCCCAGCAGGCCAGGGAGCTACACACATGGCACTGCAGACCTCTCCTGTCTCACCCAATATTCCCCTCAGCAGTGTTTTCAGTCGATGGCCTTTCCTCTCCCCACTCTGTCACTGGTGAATTCTCTCACCCTCCTGCACCTCTGGCCTGTACCCCAGTTCTTATATAAATAAATAAATCTTAGAAAAAAGAAAAGCAAAACCATGTTAGTGTTCAATTAAGAAGTTAACTTCATATGCTCACTTCTGCAGCACATATACTAAAATTGGAAGAAGTTAACTACACTGTT